AAGAGTGGTTTGTCATCACTTTTCTGTCACTTCTTTTTTTACTACCACTTTAAACTGTAGAGATAATATGCTTGAATAATTGTCAAAGCATTTCCAGTCTTGGGGATACTATTAAAAGTATTTCTTCAGTTTGCTGGGGGGAGGTTGAAATTTAATTTGTCTGGGGGGGAATGCTGTGTTTACATGCCTTGGAACTCTGGTCAGACCCAGGATCTTCCAGAAGATTTTGATGTCCGGCATGTGCTTTGTACTTTTATAAAACCTTTTAAATGTTTACATAGGCATGCCTACATCTGTGCCTGTGTTTGAAGTTCACTGATTAGCCCATGAGTACTGCCTAACTCTACAGAGAGAAACGAGACAACTAACAATAACATTGTTGGGAACAGGGTAACTCAGCATTACTAATGTGCTGACAAATCTCCCAATAAAAACAGTAGTTTATGTTTTAAAAAGAGAGATTTCTCTCCTGTAATTGTTTATTTTAAAATTAAAGACAAGTTTTTCTTGCTCTTGGAATATACTGCATTATGAGATGATTGCAGATTAAGTAATTTCATGTTATTGAATTAGCAATATATGTGCATATGCAAGTCAATACTGAGTGTTACGAAACACTTATGGTGCTACAGATTGTGTATGAGGAATATACCAAATGCAGAGAAGATGGAGCCAAGCATCATAATTATTGTATTAATTAGAAGTTATTTTAGAAGGTGATTTCCTCATAAAGTTTTCCTTCCTTAAATGGCCTCCTGTGTTTGCCTGCATGCTTTGAAACTATGTGGTAAGCATTAATCAGCAAAATGGAGATGGTATAGCAATCTCATAAGCAATGAGTTGTTAAATAATCATATTTACGGTTGGATAACAGGAGTGTATATGTCTGTTTGCCTGAGATGGTTAGGAAATCATTGGGGTTTTGAGATTATAATGTTGCCATATTCTTCATGGTCATGAGCAGCAAATGAGCTCGAATCTTTTTCTGGCAATAACTTACTGGAAATGTAAGTATTAGGAATTTGACCATGATGGTGGTTTTACTTGGAAGCAGTCAGTGGCATTACCCTGCAGGACTAAGGAAAGCAGCCCCTTTGCTCTGAGCAAGCAGCTGGAGCTGATTTCAGCTGCTGTAGCATGGTCTTTCGCCTGGCGCTTGGCAGCTAACGCGCACCGTGCTGGTCACTCAGGGTGAGGCTTGGCTCCCGAAAAGAGAGCAGGGAACCGCTGAGGCTGACCCCGGAGACCAGTGCAAGGAATCTACTAAAATGGAATTTAAGACCGATTGAAATCAGACTTTTGCATTTTTCATGCGTATATAAATGTGTTTTCTGTCAGAGTGATTGGAAAGGCAGTTTTCTGTATCTTACAAAGTGTAACGCTTGCGTAATCTGTGTTATTCCCTATAAAGTGTTAGTAGCACTTAAAAGCTTTTATTAGCAACTGGGAGTGATGGAAGAAGCTGGAAGCACATGACTACATGCCTCTCAGACAAAACAGAAATTAGTAATATAATTTGCTTGTTATTTGAAGCAAAAGCAGTGGGAAATATGTCTTTCTTAAAATGAAGATTAATGACTCTGAGTCAATTTTGAAACATACCTGAGTTTCCTTGGCTTTTGCTTTTATTTAGAACTGCAAGATAGGCTTTCTGCAACATCGCAGCAAATTCTGCCAGTGAGCCAGTAAGCTCAGTTCTTCCCAAACTTGTTAGGTGGCAGAAGCTCACAAGCGATGTCGATCTGATGTCCCAGTAACCTGGCCACAGCACTCCTCTAGCAGCCGTGTAAGCTTCTTGGGGCTCTGCTGTCTAGACCTGGACTGAGTGACTGCATCCAGAGGTGAGGACAGGCTGTTCCACATGCTAACAACATTTGCTAGCACCTTTGTTCGGGTGACAATGAAAGGGCTGACTGTCCTGGTGAACAGTGCTGTTGATTGAATTGCTGAATTAGGCTTTTGTATTACATAGTTCTGATCGTATTTAGAGACTTCAGATGAACGACTGCATAGACAGGGAGAACGCAAATGGCTCTTTTCAGTGGGAGGAGGTGAAGCTGGTCCAAAAGGAACTCTCTCATCCAGTTCTCTTCTCTGGGGATGTTTTTATCATCTTGAATGTGGTGGGGATTTGGGTTTATCCTCATATGGCCAGATAGGCTTGGGTGAGGTACAGAGACTTTGGTCAGACTCCAGAAAAAAGCAAAGCAGTCAAAGCCATGGACCTTGGAAAGCCATGGGCATTCAGAAAATGTTTTCTAATTCTTATTACCTTTTTGTCCTTTTCTGACTGGATTGGCTCTTTGTTTTATTGGCTTTTTTCTTCTTAAAGCATCTTTATCTTAAAGTATGAGTACTTATACCTTCTCCTTCTCTGTCACATCCTCTGTGTTATCCTTCTTGGTGATACAACTTGAACCCTTATAAAGTGTCCACACCTCATTATTTCAAAATTCAAGTTTAACAATGTTTTATTACGCTTAAGTATGGTTTATAAGTAGTCCCTTGTTTTTCACCTATCTCATCTGTCTTAACTAAGATAACAGACAGATCAGAGAACAGGTAATTTTAAACAGATCATTTTTTCTTTACAAAACTTGTTCATTGGTAAAAAAAACATTCCTGCATTTATCATGGAAGTTTTGCTGTAACCCATCATTATTTATGAAGATACATACTAATATTTATTCCCTGTAGGTATGTTGATTCCTAATTGGACTTGTCACAGACAATTTACAGGCCCTCAGTGCTGTGTGTTGTAATTCTGTTGCTATTGTAGATATGTTAGGGTTTAGGTATTATTAGGTTATTTGGATACCAATTTTTCCAGCTATTAAATCCAAGAAAGGGGAGATTTGGGATCTCTGAGAAGCTGCTCAGCCTGTAAAATGATTTTTGTTCTACCTGTGATGTAAGCACATTTGCATTCCTGGCAACTAAAAGTCAAACAAATTGTCCATTTGAGCAGTGGAGCTTCTAAAATCATACAGTGTTGTGGTCCTAAGGGAATCTTAAAACACAGGCAGAGACTGGCTATGAAAAGGAAAGGAAAAATTTGTGTCACTGTTTAAACAATAGACTTCTTTCATGTGGAGGACCTAGATGTCTGTTAATTACCAACTGGCTTGAGGGTTTTGGAGTCTGGCCTAATATGCTGAAACTCTTAACCATGCACTAGCTGGCATATCCTTCTACGTCT